CACATTACTGCTTAAGACCCGGTCGCCTCTTTGGCATGGGCAAAGTCAAGAAGAGTGGACTACAAGTCTCTCCCAAAGCCTACGAGCCACATTATTGCTAAATACCCAGTTGCTTCCTCAGCATGGGAAAAATCAGCAAAAAGTGAACTATAAGTTGCCCTAGAGCCTAAGGGCTACACTACTGAACTGGTGGAGACCTCCKCACCTTATAGGCAGCTCGCTACTTGCAGACAACTCGCCACATACAGACGACTCCCAAGGCCTAAGGAATTGGATCGGCACTTACTAGCTCGTCGACTTACAGGCCAAAAGAAGAATACTCCCTTCACTGAGTTACTCTCAACTCAGGAGTGGGGAGCAAATGATGAGGGTAGATTTGACCCTCCAGTGAAATTGCGACATGTGGCACCTCATGACAACTAGGTGACACCCAGGCAACAACTTACCAAGTTGGTGTCCCACCCGGGCACTGGCCTGCGCACGGCCTGCACGCGGCCCACGCATTGTCTGGTGCGTGGCCTGCGCGACCTGGCCGACCTGGACCAGCCTGGCACATGATCCGACCTAGCCGACCTGGACCACCCATAAGACGTGCCCACCGATAAACTTGGCATGCATACCCCATGATACGTGGAGGCCGGCCCACGTTCCGGAAGTTGGTCAGCATGCATGGCAGTTACCTCCAAGGAGCTCGGCAGCTCTCCAAGGAGCTCGCCAAGGAGCTCAGCAACTCACCAAGGAGCTCGGCAGCTCGCCAAGGAGCTAGGCAGCTCTCCAAGGAGCTCGGCAACTCTCCAAGGAACTCGCCAAGAAGCTCGTCACCAAGTAGCCACCAGGGAGATCGTCGCCATAGGCAGCTCGCCACTTGCAGGGTAACTCGGTACAGAAGAGCAATTTGGCATATCGCAAGAAGATCTCCTGCCTAACGACCGTACCTGACAGATCTGGTGGCAACGCCCACATCTCTTGCCAGGTGGCGGCGTGCCTGCCGTCTCTGAAAAGCATGGCACGCCTGACGAGTCTGTACCTTGCAGTAGTAGCCTGCAACTATCACCTCAGTCCTGGTAGTAATGGCTTGGGCAGTGGCGGTTACGCCTGATGTGACTGGGCACCACTATATAAGGACTCCGACCCCCAAAGCCAAGGGAGGGGATGGAAAAATGGAGGTAATCCCTGCTCTCTAGCTCTCTCATTTCTCTCCAAGCTCTCTGCAATCAGAATGCTAATTTAGGCATCAGAGAGTCCCCGCCAGGTAAATACCCCGGGTCCTATGATTCAGTTCTTGCAGGTTCCTCAGCTCTCGCCGCTTACAAAGAGGAGGAAAGGATGGAGTTCTCGCAGGTCCCTCAGCTCCCGCTGCCTACAAAGGAGAAGAGATCACCTCATGCAGAGGGCAGTCGGGTTGCGCTACACCAGGGAGCTCCACCACCCTCTGAGTTACAGGCCGCCTAGGAGCATGTCAAATGACGAGTCCACCGAGGTAGCTCACCATCGAGCAGCTCGGCATAGCTCTCCCCAGCTCGGCAGAGCTCGCCACAAGCAGCTCGGCATAGCTCATCACCAAGCAGTTCGCCACCAGGGAGCTCGTCACCAAGCAGCTCTCTACCAGGGAGCTCGTCACCAAGTAGCTCTCCACCAGGGAGCTCGTCACCAAGTAGCTCTCCACCAGGGAGCTCGTCACCAAGTAGCTCTCCACCAGGGAGCTCGTCACCAAGTARCTCTCCACCAGGGAGCTCGTCACCAAGTAGCTCACCACCAGGGAGTTCGCCACCAAGTAGCTCATCACCAGGCAGTTCGCCACCAGGGAGCTCCATCATCCTCTGAGTCACAGGCCACCTGGGAGCAAGTCAAATGACGAGGTACTTAGCCAAAAAAAATTGATACATCACAATAAATGATACGTGACCAGAACCGGTTACATCAAAAATAAAGAATAAAATATTCAAAAAACATAAATTATGTTATCAAGGTTTTAGTATTTCCAATTAGGATCAAGTGAAGTGATTATCTTAAAAGAAATAAATGATAGTATGTGGTGGGGGATATATCATGCATCTAAGCAAATCAATGTATGATAATATATATAACATATATTTATATATGATATGTACTATAGAGTCAAGTTTGGGTTGGGTCGGGTTGCCTAAGGGGTCAACCCTAACCCAACCCAAAGTAAAGTCAGTCGGGTTAATAAATTTCAACCCTAACCCGAGCATCAACCCAACCTGACTTTTGGGAGTAGTGTCAACTTGGGTTTGGACCAACCCGGCCCAAGTTGCAGCCTTACTCACTACATCCTTTTAAATTAATGAATATGTGTGACCAAATTAGGGAAATTTTCACTTACCCTGAACTTTGGGGGTAGTGCCAATTTAGTACCTGAACTTTCAAACGTGTCACCACAGCACCTAAACTTTCAAAAAGTGTCAAGTTGGTCTTTGTTGTTAACCGATCGTTAGTTATCTGTTGAAAATGTCAAAACTACCCTTCAAAAAAAAACACTATTTATTATCTTCTACCTTGAGACTGAACCGGTTATCTTCAAGAAAAAGAGAGAAAAAATATGAAATAGGATAGAGAGAAATAATAACTGAAAGCAAAGAAATAAATAGACAAGAATGTGTTTTAGATATAAAGGTAGAAAACAATGACTTCATTAGTCTAGAATCTCAAACACCTCAACCGGTTCAGTTTCAAGTTAGAAGATAATGAACAGTGTCTTCTTTTAAAGGGTAGTTTTGACATTTTTAAAATATAACTGACGATCGGTGAATGACAGTGACCAACTTTACACTTTTTTATAGTTTAGGTAATAAAATGACAAATTTGAAAGTTTGGATAGTACTAAAGTTGAATTTTCCCACAAAATTACACGTGAAAAGAGGGGGCAAAACTGTAATTGTCTATTTAAGTTATAACACAATTCGAATCAGGAGCCTTAAACCCCTTTCCTCTTCTCACAGCACTAGCGATTGAAGTAGAGGTAGACCGAAGCCTTCCCCTATTGTGCTCCATCATCGTAACCACCAATAACCACTCCAGCCCTCGTTGCCGGTGACTGATCAAACATCACCTATATTTTTTTATTTTTTCTTTTGATTTCTGTTATTTATTTTTTTCGTTTTGGGTTTAAACCTGTCACCGATCCACCGTTACCAACAACAATCTTTAGCAAAGAAGAGTTTTCTTTTGATTTCTGTAATTTTTTCGTTTTGGGTTTAAACCTATCACCCATTCACCGTTACCAACAACAATATTTAGCAAAGAAGAGTTTCTTTTGATTTCTGTTATTTTGTCGTTTTGGGTTTAAACCTGTCACGGATCCACCATTACCAACAACAATCTTTAGCGAAGAAGAGTTTACCATCAACAATTACCACCGGTGAGTGGTTTTATAGTGCTTCATTGTGGTTTCTGGATTTGATCAATTCCCTTTTCCGCCTTTCTTTCGTGTTTTTTGGTTGGTAGAAGAAATTATGGGTTTTCTTAAAATTAGGGTTATGCCAAACATCATTTTGATTCTTAGAAATAGGAACCCGAGTTGTATACCAAACATGTATATTGTTTCTAAGAATCAGGAAAATCCAGAATCCATTCTTTTAGAGAGAATTTCTAGAATTGATGCCAAATAGGCCCTTTAACTGCTATTCATTCAAATTCACGTAGATTTTGATAGATTAAGGTTTTTCAAGTATCATACCTTTCTGGTAAAATAATGTAAGTTTTTCAAGTATCATAAATGATGTGATACACTGGTAAGTGGTAACCACTAACCAACTTTCTATCAAAGAGAATAGGAAGAAGGTGGTGCAAATTTTGCACATCTTATCATAGCTCAAGTTTGCAGTTTGCACTAAAAATGAGTACAAAATTTGCATCATCAAGTAAGGGTGCAAAACCTAGTTATAACATATAAAGCAAACTGCAAACCCGTATAAATCTGTATCAAATGTAAATTTTACATCCGGATTTGATTTGAATGGCAAACAAAACAAAGAGACGAAACTTCAAAAGAAACTGGCAAATTCATCTCAGGGCTAGGACCACCAAGTGTCCCCAAACTAACTCATTTCTGTTTACCTCATTTTTAACAAAGAATCACAAGGCTGTCAGTGAATGTTGGATGCTAACGCCTAATTTTCCCCTTATCAAATGCCTCAGGAACCATAACCTTCTGTCATGTCCCTGTTACAATACACTACCATAAAATCAGTCTAGCAAGTCTAATGACCCAATTTTAAACCATGCATCAGAGTTAGAAGCTCAACCCTCAGAGAGCTTCCATTCTTGCTGGTCCCAATTAGCTCAGCAGAGCGTCTCTGATTTGGTCTTTAAATGCCTTTGGCCCAGATTGCCCTGGGATTCCAACATTACCCCATCCTGCCTCTCTCCGAGGCTACCCAATCCAGCATCATCTGCTGTCTATTACGAGACCGGATCTGCTTCTCACACAGGGCGCCTCACACCGACCTGACACGCACATCCTACCATGTATTGAAAGCATCTCCCGTATTTATAAGTTATTACTCATGGGAGATGTTCCCAATGCACGGTGGATGTGCCTGTAAGGCGCCCATGTGTGAGGAATAGATCCCGTTCCATCTAGTATAACCAGCACTGAAGCCCACCCCGAGTACAGAATCCATGGCAACACCTTGAAACTTTTCTTCCATACATATTGAACGTGCCATCCTCACCATGACGGGATCAATTATAACATGGACATTTTGTTTTCCTCTGAAACCACACATTTCAAATCACTGCAGCCATGGTACTGTTGTACGGTGCTAAAAATCAATACAATATTTTCTTGGTGAAGAAAAACAGTAGTGAAAACGCTCACCATAGAATTCTTCTTACAGCGTTTATTATGTAAATAAACAAACTACACTAATATAGAAAAAATAAGGAAAAAAAAACAAAGAGAAGACAGAGCATGTGCTCTTGAACTGAGTTATCTTCAAGCCTTGGCTTCCACTTGGCTAATCTCCCACTTGAGTAAGCAAGTATACTGAGATTCATTTCAGGTGCCAGCAGATGCAGTTACTTGGATCCACATTCATCCAATGTGCTACTTGATATTTGCAAAAATAGCAGTTCGGCTACATACCCCTATGTCATCTGAACATGCTTTTTAGAACGACAAATACACTCTGGATATGGATTTTCATAGAAAGACTCTTCAGTTCTAAACCGACCTCGGCCTTTAATCCCTGGCATGGCACCCTGCCTTTTCCTTGGAGCTCCTTGCCTGTAAATTCCAGCTCATGAATAGTTATTTTAATAATCTTAGCTTTGTTGTTTTCCATTCAAACTATCTGGAATCTCCAACTCCAGTGGCACAGACTAGTTAAGTTTAAGTAAAAGGGATTTCTTTTCTTTTTTTTTTTTGATGGTTATTACTTTTTTCTATTCATAACCACAAAAGGAAAAGAGTAGAAGGGCTAACACAGACAAAAGAGGATTACCTGTTTTTGTGCATCTCTCTTACAATATAAGATAATGATGATCCTTCTTCTAACTCTCCCCTTTCAATCTTATCAAACACTTGAACAAGTCCTCCCCTGCAGACAAATTTAAACACAGCAGTTGAAGAAAAGATTAAAACTAGGAAAATCGTTTTACATACAACAAAAAAAATGAAAACATCTAGATGTTTCCAATCTCCAAACACAAGAAGCTAATGCACAAAAGAAGTTTCATGTGAACAATAAATCTTCTACCAATACCAGTCTTTCTAGCTCTTACATGGGACTACAAATAGTAGTTGGTGAACATCTAGATATTTCCAAACACAAACAGCCAATGCAATAAATAAGTTTCATTAGAAATAGAGTTCTAGAAAAAATGAAAGGGCCTTTTGCAGTGATACAACCACATATAGGTATTGTTATTCATAAGTAGCAATAAATCTACAAATGCAGTTTTTCTTGCTCTAACCTACATGGGACTTTATTTTTGATGTTTCTCTTTAGCATTTCCTTAATTTATTTAAGAAACTAGTTTCAGAATATTTATATATGCCTGATTGATTCATCCAATTGGTTATAGTTATCGATGTACCTATCCGGGGTGATTGTCTTCCGATGGCCTAAGAATCTCCGGTGCCCCTCAACTGCTCTTGCCATGTTACCTGAATAAGATGGAATGAATACATCGCTTTCTATAGAGATGATGTAATCCAGTGCTGCTGTCTGAGATGCATGATTGGCAAACACTTTCAATTCTTCTGTAGTCGCCACCATCTCCTGTCATCAATAAATAAGGTCGTTTGCAATTGAACCAAGGTGATGGATTGGATAGTACTAAATTGTTTGCAATGAAGTTGATGGAGACTAATGCTCCTTGTTAGACCTTGAAAACCAAGTTGGGGAAGCAGGATCTTAGTTCTGAAAGGCGAGCACTACCACCATATATTTCACCAGCTGCAATGTAAATTAAAGTTGATGGAGGGTAACCAAGAGCCCGAAGAAAAATCCCAACCTCCTTTGGAGTTAGTGGACAAAAACCTCCTATCCTCTGCTCTATAGAGTTTATCTTCTTCATTTTCCAGTGATTTGTATTCTCCCTGAAAAAACACAAAAGAGAAGTTCCATTTAATCCATCATCAAGCCTATAAACGATATATGAAAATGGGGACATTGAATAAAAGATGTAATTCCAAAGACCATACACTGAAGATCATTTTGGTAGGAGCAAAGCAATTATTATGGTATAGCCAAAGGTGCAGATCTAATTTTATTAAGTTCAGTCAAAACTAAATAGGAGAATAACAATAGATAAAATGATAAGAATATCTTATGTAGTTTTATATATCTTGGATATATAGTTACAGACTTCTACGAAGATAAACCCACAATGTGCACAGACGGAAAAAAAAAAAACATCTTATTCAGACTTAGAAGGTATGTAGACACAATAGCACGCATCAACCCAACCACATAGAAGATTGCTTCAACTGTGTTAAGGTGTTGTTTTATTTTAAAGTAAGCTCATTAAATAATTATTAGCTTCTAAAATATACCAATATGGAGAAGATATTTTTTATACCAATAGTGGAGGGAAAGTGCTTTTATCATTTGATGCTTTAGCACCTGTTTGATTCTTACATGCCACTAATCCTAGAGAATTTAGTAAACTCTTGCAAAGACCGTGATCAGATGCTGAGGCTCAAGAACAAGTAAAACAACTGAACACATGTTTCCTGAACAAGAAACATTGTTTCAACTTCTTGATACATTCAAAAAGCATGGAGGATGGCATCTTCTTGTCATATCACCTTGAAATGTTAATTGATTTATTATACTTTACTGGAAGAAAGATCTCACCTCATTACTCTTAGCTCCTCAGCTTCTGCATCAGTAAGACCATACGTGCAACCAGTAAAAGATAACATATCTTTCTCATATCGTAGATGGAGAGCAATGTATCGTCCTCCACGTGATCTCAACCGCTCCACCAGTTTCTGTGGTGTCACTGTCATGTATGTTCAGAACCTAATTTAACAGGTTTCCCCATAGGACAGGTCTTTTAAATGCATCTATACCCAAAGAAGAATCAAATGGAGATTTTATAAGAGGTTCCTGGATGAAATATTATGGCATTTAAAGAAATACAAATGGGAGAAGCAAAAGTTCAGACCTTCCCCAGGTTCTCAATAGAAGGAGTGAAGCGGAGAGAATAATATAAAGCACGGCATCTCAACTTCTGGATATCAAGAGGGAGGTCATTATTTGCAAGGCGGGAATCAGATTTTGCAACATGAATCACCTGGCACACACACACACACAAAGGACTTTAGAAGCTATCCTTCAAGATCACAAAGTTGGCATTATTAGCCAAGCCAAACCCAGCAGCTCATAACTGTTTCTTAAATATAGACAGTAACACAAGGGCATTAGATGTGCAAATTTGGGTACCCAAGTTGAAGAATTTCAACAGCATTGGGCCTGGACTTTTTTTTGGAGAAGGTAAAAAAAATATTGATGAAAGATGAAAATGTTACAGCAACTTCCTGGAGCCCCACACACAGGAAGAAGACATATTACAGACTCCAAATAGACTGAGTACAGAGCAACTGAAACAGATTCTAAGATTTAAACTCAGGGGTAACAAATATCCAATAAGCAAGTTTAGACACTGCATTCTGAATTGGGCCTGGACTTTGGGCCAGGTCCCTTGGAAAATTTAACAAATGCTAAACCCAAGCCTGTCCAAGTTGCACACCTAGAGGATATTGTAACTTGTAAGTAGTCAGTGAACTACCTGATAGTCCTTCCACAACTGTGTCATCTCTTCATAGTACTTAAGTCCCGACCAGGAAGTAAAATGCTTCCGGGCCCTAGGAACAGACTCCAATTCCTTCGGAAGCTCTTTGATTATTGTCACATCTCCTTGTAAGGATGTTATGAAATGTTCTTCATCAAATAGGTCTGAAAACATACTACATAAAGATCCAAGACAACGGAAAGTGTAAGTACAAACAACCACATGAAAAGTTATGGAGTTAAGCTCAAATGCCACAGACAAGAAAGAACCATCTAAACAAACCTTGAATCCTGCCAAAATGACCGTTTATCTAGTTGAGGAATTACTAATGTTGCATTCATTATGTGTGCCACAGCAACCATATCAGATATCTATAGAGTATTCAGAACAGGTGGTTACCAAGAGTCAGTACAAAATGTCAGAGAGCAAGAATAGTATTAGAGTTGGCAAAAAACACCAATCCAATCTATTTATAAGGTTGAGAACAGAAGAACCCGGGGAAAGAACATTAACATAAATTCATGAATTTCGAAAATGATTATTGAATTTCAGAATTTCCTACAATTGCAGAAAATGATAAGAATGGTTTCTTGTATTTTATTTTGATTTATGTATATATTTTATCATTATTCTAGAAGTTACAATACTGAAGGTTGGATCTAATACCAGGGGTTGGCGCTTGAATCCCCCAAGACTTCAATACTTTCTGACTGTCAATTCTTGCAATAGCTCACAAAAACATCATGAAGTTTTCAGAAGATATTTGAGGTGAAAAGTTATGAATATCTAAGTTTCTTCTTTCTGTATTCAACTTTGTTCTTTTTCTTTTCCAACTTACCTGATACAAATAACAGAAAGAAAAAAGAAAGAAAAAATGGAAAAACAAAAATCCAAAACAGAAGTACAAAAACAAATAAAATACCATGAAAGTTTTCTGGATGAACAAGATCTCAGAAGTGGAAAAAGATGAAACATATTAGAATAACTTCATAAAAAATGTGGCAAATGTTTGAACAATGAAATGCCCTATTTAGGCTGAGTTTGGAAGGAGTACAAATACAAATATTTAGAGTGCAAAACCTTGTATTTTGAATTATTTTGTATGTATTTACACTGTACATATTTGCATTTGTACTCCTTCCAAACTCAGCCTTAGCTGAAAATCTTCAAGTAGAAGCTCAAGGCATACAAAAATAAACGTTACACAGTGTTGCATGGACATGGACATTGGAATTGGAATCTCGCACGTATCCAGTAGTCGGACTCAGTGAACCATTTATGGACACATCTCACATAAATATTAAATATTACAAATATCATTCTTTATAACCATAGAACTTATGAGTATAATAACTTAAATAGTTAAATTACAATTTACAATTAACAAATTAAAATCAAAGCCTTTGCCTATTTGCCACATAGCCACACTAGTTGCTTTTCACTGTATTCCTAATTTAAATGATTATTGGAAAAGATCCAATAAATAATGGATCATAAGTTTGTGTACACTGTGTAAAGACAAATACTAGAGTTCCCTATTGGACAGATTAATAGTTGGACCACTGTAAAATAAAGGCACTTAAAATGAGGATTTGTAATTTTGGAGAGTCAACATAATAGGCATTTTGGTAAATCTGCCTGATTTTCACTGTAGCTGAGTTCAAAACATATTTTGGAGAGCCAGACACAAGTCACTTCACGAGTCCCATCAAAAGGTGGGGTGTGCATGCAACATAGATGCTGGGTAAAGTATATAGACAAAAATTAACCTTTCTAAAGCATAATAATAATAATAATAATTCTAGTCGGGGATGAAGATATAAGAATTTCTTTTTCTGTCAACTCTTTCCATCCTGCAATTATAGGAACTAAAAGTGATTCTTTTCCCAGGCAGTGGATATGGTCCCCAAGTATCAAATCCAAGTTTACCTGATTATATGGATATCAGTTCTTCCATAGATCATCTCATCTCCAGGCAGATATGAAGAAAGTATTTGCTCTTTCAGCCAATCACCCAGGAAGACAGTGACTTACATTCTTATTTATTATCAGTATTCAATGCATATTTATCACTACGCCAATTTGTTCGGTAGCATGGGGTAATCCAAGGAAATTTGTCTCCTCTGATCCTAGCTGTCCAGTGTAAAAGATGCCATAACGGCATAACCTATAGAACCCCTTCCCCTTTTTCAGTAGCTGAAGCATTTGGAGAGAGTTTAATGATGAATTTTGAATAAGTAATGTCACCCAGTGCTTAGAGGTATTACGAGGTGGGGTGCCTTGCTCATTTTTGGATATCCATCTCAGTGGATCTTAAAAGGATGAAGACCCAACACTGCCATAAGACTTGTGACAATATCGCTTTGGACTCCAACTCCAGTGTATAGCTTGTACACCTCTTTCCACATATCACTATTGAAGGCCATGTATTTTTGGTAGATGGATTTAAACCCTTATTGTCATATTAATATAAGTTTTGATGACAGAAGCTTGGGAAACCCAGGTTTATCAGGTATTGGTGAGGTGTTCAGAGATGAGGAGGGTCAAATCCTAGCTCTCTACTCAGGACCAGAAAGGTAGGGGGACTCCCTTAGAGCAGAAGTATTGGCACTGATGGAAGGTATTCAAAGAGCAAAGGACTTGAACATTAGGAAGCTGATTGTTGAAGGAGATTCCAAACTGGTAGTGCGCTGGTTACAAGGAGAAGATTCAAAATTCTGGATCTATAGCAATGAAAAGAAGGTAGTTGACAAGATATAATGGAAACCTCCTTCAATTGGGTTAAACATTGCGCTAAATCATTAGCTAATGCATTAGAAAAACAAGGGGTGGGGAGAGAATCTTTAATCTAGGCACTCTTGTAAGTGAAGGAAAGACGGAGGAGAGATAAGAGGTTTTCTCATTGACTGAATCTTCTTTCTCTTGTATTTTATCTTGTACACTTCTGATCTATTAATGAATTAAAATATTGCAGCTATTGATCACAAAAAAAAAATATTAATATAAGTTTTATTCATATCAAAGAAAAAACTGTATGATATTGTTTGTAATAGTTATGGTTCAAGAAAAATATTATTATGGACAGATAAGGTAACTGCTGAATAATGGGATCAACAGTTGATGCAAGTAAAAATAAAGTAACCAGTTAAAAGCATCTGAAATGTATAGGGGTCACTAACTTACACCAGTGCGCATTTGGTTCAATCCTCCATTGCTTCTCACTGTTATATAGTGGTCCCATCCTTGGGGAGCTGAGAAGTGTTAAGCAAATTCATCATCAGAACAAAAAAACACTATTCCACAATGAAGAAGCAATTCAAAGTAAAAAATATTTAGTGGCACTAAAGTAATTCTAAGGTTACAGGGCTCCCTACAAAGATATCTAATATTGCAGTTGTACTAGTGTCAGAGAAGAAAGAGACCGCATATCAGTCCTGAAGAGCTAGGATTCAAGATAGACCTTTATATCTTGGAGTTGGGTCGACACATGGATGGAAACCATAACTGGAAGGAGTGCCCCACAATTGCTCCTCTGGCACCTGCAAGACAAAATGACAGAAAAAAATAAGAATACCTATACACCCAATAATTTACTAATGCACAACTTCTATAGGAAGAAGGATCCTCAATGAGCTTTAGTTAAATGGATGAGAACAAAAAGAATTGAAACATTGAAGCAAAAAAATATTGAAAATGAAAAAAGAAATCCTAAATGCATCCAATTGTATTCATTCATTCAAATTATATGAGAACTCATAAACCACACAAATAACATACTCACCAATTCAAAGTTATCAAAGCTTCATATAACCCATATAAGCAAATATCACCAAGGACAATCTACAAAAATTTGGAGCCAGCTATCCTGTATTTTATAGGTGTATGTATTCATACAAGACTAAGTTTAAAACTTATTTTGGTCCATAGCTTTCCCATCTTAATCATTGGCTTTGATATCGTCCTACTCAAGCAACTGCCCACAATTTTTATTTCTTTAACCTTCTCAAAACAATAGTTCTGACATCTTCCAAGGCTTGCCCAGGGAATAAAACACTGAATTCTGATTTCAAACTGATATGACTTGGTCACCATGCTCTATATGATTTTCTATTCAAAACCATTTGTCTTTCAAAGGTAAAAACATGTTTACTTCACCTGTAAGAAGCTACAAGGGAAAAACCAAGGTCTGCAAATTGTGTTATATTTTATCTTGAACTATATTCTAGATAAAACCAAATATTATACCGACCATCTAAATTCATCTACCATATCCACGACAAGCATTTTCTCCTCAATCTCCCATACTGAATCTGTAACTGGAAGAAACCTATCCAATAACAATGGGCAGTTGATTCATATTATCGAGGTTTTTTCCAGGTTGAAAGATGGCCTCATTGGAGCAGGTCTGAGTAGAAAGTTTAAGAGAATGTATAGCAGAAAAAGATTGAAAGTCAAGAATTGTGTGGATAGAGTGGATTTTGGAAAGACAACCACAACCACAATTCTTGACTTTCAAGAAGGAACTGCCAGAAAAGGTAGCAGAAATGCAGCTCATGGCTCAAGCAGCAAAGGACTGTAGAATGATTTGCAACATGCACAAGAATGACTAGGAGAAGAAATTTATTGTTACCTTAACAGCCCCACCGAAGGACTGCAAGAGAATCGCTGAAGAGTTAGTAAAGAAGCTGAAGTTAAATAGTATTTAACCCCCTTTGAAAAGTGTAAGGCCCTTCTAGAGTTAGTAGAAGAGAAAATGGAACTCCAGGCTATGTGTTGTCAATTGGAGTCGGCCTCTGTGACTGTTTCAAAATGGACTCCTCATCCTCTCCAGAGAATTTCTCTGCAACCTCTCAATTTTCTTTGCAATTTTAGATGGCATAGGAAACAGGGACATGAAGTAGGTAGGGAAGTTGGCAAGTGTACTTCTGATAAGGGTCACTCTCCCTCCTATAAACAAATATTTTGCCTTCCAGGAGGCCAACTTTTTTCCTACTCTCTCAATGACTGGATCCCATATAGCAGAAGAATAACACTTGGCACCCAAGGGAAGGCCTAGGTACTTCCCCGGAAGATAGTCCACCTGGCAAGCCATCAATCTTACATAGGATTCCAGATTTGGTACGGGGCCCACTGGAATGATTTTGCTTTTATGAAGAATTAGTATTAGGTTGGGATGGTTAGAGGCTTTTCAATTTTCATGGTTGCATCTAAAAAAAGAAAAGATCTACCAACAAAAAAAGAGCAGAAAAGAAATGTGGGCATTGCCCTATTTATCCTTTATTTATTGTTCTATCTTATTCTATGAGGAAGATTGAAGAAGAACTTTGTTTCTGCAGTTCATTGAGATGAATTTGGATATGGGTATGTAGGTAACATGCTTGAACAAAGGGAAGCTAGTATAGCCGCCTTGGTTTTGGTTTTGGCTGTGACTCTTCTGGTTAGTTGCATTGTGTTTAGAAAGTGGAATAAATGCGGAAGGAGAGGGCAAGTCTGCTTGCTCAGTTCACAGCTGAAGAAGCTCTCAGTGCAAGAAAATGGCTACTGCCAGTGTTATCCCTCTTATACCATCTTGAAAGACTAGGCCTCATGAGTTACCAGCTCTGACCCACTGCTCTGGATGCAAGTCATTTGGATATTGGAAAGAGTGCTGGGATATATATGTGGATAATGCCTATTTACATATTTTTCCTATGATAAGTTTAACTCCAATTGCATCTTTAATGTATGTGATCCGAACTGGGCGTACTTAGGCAATAAGAAAATCCAGACAAAGTTGGCTTCTTAATGATACTTATTCTTGAAAGAATTTCAGTGAGGTGGGATCCTTTCATCATTTATGTCATTAATCTAATTCATGAAGGATATCTTATTTTGAGGAAAAAGGATAACTATTATGTTATGAGCCCGCGGGTAGGATCTCGTCACGGGTCTGTCCACCGGGAGAGACTCCTGTCTTCCCTTGCCCTTGCCCTTGCCCTTGCGTACAGACCCTATTGTGGCAATCGCGTGGGTGATTTGTCCAAGAGATCACCCGAACTCTCCTAACACCTTTCTTGGATGAAAACTGAATGCCTTTACTTCAATTCGTAGCTCCTTGAATAGGAGATTACAGAAGGAAACTCCTTGTTGGATTCGGCTAGGCTAGGGTAATCCAACTTAAACTCAAACTCAAACTCCTAATTACCTACTCCTAATAGTAACACAACTCTTACTTAAGATAAGATAAGATAAGATAAGGATAAGGGATGAGGAATGGAGTAGCTGGCGGTGAGTTGGTGAGCAGAGCTGATGTGGTAAGATAAGTGTGGACCCACCCTGATGAGATGTCGTGTGGGTCCCGCCCTACTGCTGCTGCCAGGCAGCGCGCGCGTCTCACAGTGCTGCTGCCATGTGGTGTGTGCTGCTGTCGTGCAGTGCGTGCTGCTGCCCAGTGTTGCTGCCATGCGACGTGTGCTGCTGCCGTGCGGTGCGTGCTGCGCGCTGTTGGGCGGTGCGTGCTGCGCGCTGCTGGGCGGTGCGTGCTGCGTGCTGCCAGGCGGTGCGTGCTGCGTGCTGTCGGCGGTGCGTGCTGCTGTGCGGCNCTGTGCGCTGCCGGGCGGTGCGTGCTGTTGTGCGGCGCTGCCAGGCGGTGCGTGCTGCTGTACGGCCTGCTGTGCGTGCCGCTGCCTATGACTGCGTCGCAGTGTGCTGTCAGGCGGTGTGTCCATAACATCACACCCCTCCTGGACTACGAGCCTGTCCTCAAGCTCGAGTTTGGGGTAGGCACTGTGAAGATCGGTCCAGGGAATCCAGGTGGCCTCAGCTGATGGTAGTCCGTCCCATTCCACTAGAACCTCGAAGGTACCCTGATTGATGCGTGATCGTACAAGAGCCCGAGGTTGGAGGATGGGTCTGCCGTCCTTTAGAGGTGGTAGGGGAGGCACTTGGTCCGGGGGAATCCCTATAAAAGGCTTCAGGAGGGACACATGGAAGATGTCATGGATTCTGCTGTGCTCCGGTAGCTCGAGTTGATAGGCAACCTTCCCGATCTACCTGAGAACCTTGAAGGGCCCATAAAATTTTGGGGCTAGCTTGGGGGGGCCTCGACGCCTGAGGGAGAGCTGCCGGTAGGGTTGGAGTTTCAGCCAAACGAACTGTCCCGGCTCGAAGGTGACTTCGCGGTGGTGCTGATCGTAGGCGTGCTTCATGCACGCCTGTGCCTGCTATAGGCGCAAGGAGACTTCGGCCAGGAGGGCGTCACGATCTTGGAGGCTGTGATCCACTTCTTCCAGCCGTGTTGAGCCTGGTTCGTAAGATAAAGACGGGGAGGATCTCAACCATTTACCACCTGGAAGGGAGTCATGCCAAGGGAGGAGTGGTAGGACGTGTTATAACAGTATTCGGCCCACGGAAGGCACTCCACCCAGCGCCTGGGCTGGTCTCCCACAAGGCAGCGGAGGTACATCTCTATTGTCCGGTTCACCACCTCTGTTTGGTCGTCAGTTTGTGGATGGTAGGTGGAGGAGAAGGCTAGGTCTGTTCCCTGCAGTCGGAAGAGCTCCTTCCAGAAGGCGCTGGTAAAGATCGGGTCCCTGTCACTTACAATGGATTAGGGTAACCCATGCAATCGGAAGATGTGGCCGAAGAAGGCGTGGGCCACTGAAACCGCGCTGTAGGGGTGAGATAAGGGAAGGAAGTGGGCATACTTTGAGAAGCGGTCCACCACCACAAATATCACCGATTTCCCTCCCACCTTGGGTAAGCCTTCGATGAAGTCCATGTAAATATCTCTGCCCAGATCTGAGTGGGGAGGGCGAGGGGTTGGAGAAGGCCTGTTGGGTGCAAGTTTTCCCACTTCTGCTGCTGGCACGTTGAACAGTTCTGGATGAAGTCCCGTACCGAAACCTTCATGCCTTGCCAGTGGAAATCTGCATGGATGCGGTGCAGTGTTTTCTAGATACCCTCATGCGTGGCGTTGTGTATGCTGGAGATAACAGAGGGAATTAAGGGGCAGTCGGTTGGAAGATAAATTCGGCCCTTGTACAGTACCAACCCGTCCTACATGCTCCAATTGGAGTTGGCCGTTCCTGCCTGTATTTTCTTGAGCAGATCGTTCCATTCGGGTGACTGTGGCAGTTCATTCCGAATGTCTTCCAGTAGGGAGGCTCGGGGCTGTGAGATTGCATGGATTAGCATGTCGTCTTCTCAACGGAACAAGGCATTTGCGGCACGGTTCAAGGCCCCAGCCTTGTAGTCTACTCGGAAGTCGAATCCAAGGAGTTTACTGACCCAATGCTGTTGTGGTGAGGTGGTGAGCCGTTGTTCCAGTAGATATTTGAGGTTGTAATGGTCTGTCTTGACTATGAAAGATCTTCCCCACAGGTACGGCCTCCAGTGCTGCACTGCCTTAGCTAGGCCAATAAGTTCTCGTTCGTAGGCGGGCAACTTAAGGTGGCGGTCGGCCAGCTTGCGGCTGAAAAAGGCGATTGGGTGCCCTTGTTGCTGTAGTATCGCGCCTATGCCGGTGTCGGATGCGTCACACTCCACTGTGAACTCAAGA